ATTTTTTGGTAGAGATGCGGTCTCTTGCTCAGGCTGGTCTAGAACTCCTGACCTTGAGCGATCCACCCGCCTTGGCCTCCCAGAGTCCTAGGATTACAGGTGTGAGCCACCGTGCCTGGCCTTTTGCTTTTGCTCAGGCTGGTCTTGAACTCCTGACCTCAATCAATCCTCCCGGCTAGGTCTCCCAGAGTGCTAGGATTACAGGCATGAGCCACCATGCCTGGCCTATTTTTTTTTTTTTTTTTAGAGACAGGGTCTGGCTATGTTGCCCAGGCTGATCTCGAACTCCAGGCCTCAAGTGATACTCCTGCCTTGGCCTCCCAAAGTGCGGGATTAAGGTGTGAGCCACCTCACCTGGCCTGACCCATCCTTATCATTGGTTGGCCAGGTACTCATTGTTCAGTGAGGTCTGGCCATGAACCTGACAGGCCTCTAGGAGCAGACACTGGTTTTCCCTCTTCTCTATGAAATTTGGGCCAGTTACCAAATAGGGAGGGTGAGCTGCGCGGTTAGTTATTATGATTCTATTCCTCAGAGCTAGAGTTTTAGAGCCAGGTGGGATCTCAGAGGTTGATTCCTGAGGTTTCTCCTTCTCCTTTGAAGGTCAGCATATGCTCCTTTAGGTGCCCTACTGCAAAGATGGCACTGCAAAGATGACAGCAGGCCAGCCCACTACCCCTGAGCCACCAGCCAGGTCTCCTATCCCATTTCACAGATGAGGCTTTGTCCTCCCCCTTGGTACCTCTGCTGACACTGTCAGAACTTGGGCTCAGAGCTTCCATTTATCCCTTCCCACCAGATGCTGGTGAGCTCAGGAGGGGAGGGGTTGATCAATCTCCCCTGTTCCACACTCTCTAACACATTAAAAGATAAAGATAGGCTGGGTGTGGTGGCTCACACCTGTAATCCCAGCACTTTGGGAGGCCAAGGCAGGAGGATCACTTGAGGCTAGCTCAAGACCAGCCTGAGAAGAGCAAGACCCCATCTCTACAAAAAATAGAAAAATTAGCTGGGCATGGTGGCACATGCTTGTAGTTCCAGCTGCTTGGGAGGCTGAGGCAAGTGTATTGCTTGAACCCAGGAGTTTGAGGTTGCAGTGAGCTATGATGATGCCACTGCACTCTAGCCCGGGCAACAGAATGAGACCCTGTCTCAAAAAAGAAAAAATA